ATTTGACTGAGAATACGTCTAACTTCTTCGACGGAAAAGGCGACGGTTTCAATGACGGCAATATCTTGGCGCATTTGAAGCTCCCGCTGTCGCGGTCCATTTCAAACTGCTGATTGCCTCACGAATGAAGGCGAAATCTCGAGTTCCAAGTGTGTGCATATTTTAAGAAGAAGAGTCGAGCACCGGAACACTTCGTTTATTCTCCTGAGCTTTCAGACTTGTACAGGAGTCCATCGTCAGAGGTAGTGGCAGAAACAGGACAGGCGGCCGTTATAAGGCACGTAGGCCCAATCATCGACCGACGTCGCATGACTGGAGGTGACTACGAAGGGCTCTGTACGCCGGCGCCAGATCAATAAATCGATTGAACGAGTTCTCATCTGAGGCTCAGGTTTCAAGCACCACACACCTTCTCAGTTTTCACAGCAACCATCCGGTGGCTCACAAACGAAGCTGTATGAAGACGCTCTTCAAACGGAACCAAACTCATTGCAGCAAACCGGAGGACAGAGCACGTGAAGCCCGTTATCTCCGCGACCAGTTTGTGCAAAATGGCTATCCGAGGGCACTCATAAGTCGCTGCCTACGTGCTCGCCACCAGAGAACTCGAACATCAACACCACCGATGATATGGCATTCTCTGCCATACATCAAGGGTGTTTCAGAAGCGACCGAGCGCATTGCTGCGGAGCTAGGTGTTGGAATTGCACACCGTCCCAAAGCCACCATGCGCAGCAGGGTCATGGAAATCAAAGACCGGTTAAAACCTGAAGAGAAATCTGGAGTAGTGTATCGCATCCCGTGTCACAATTGTCCTTGTAACTACACAGGACAGACTAGATGCATGCTCGGATCGCGCATACACGAACATAAGCTGGCTGTGCGGCGAGGCGACGCATTATCACAAGTGGCCGCCCACACCTACGAAATGGGTCACGAGTTTGACTTCGCAGCCACCAAAATAGTCGCCCACGCCGGAAACAAAACAGGCCGAGAATTGATTGAAGCCTGGGCCTCGGATGAGAACTCGTTCAATCGATTTATCGATCTGGCGCCGGCGTACAGAGCCCTTCGTAGTCACCTCCAGTCATGCGACGTCGGTCGATGATTGGGCCTACGTTCCTTATAACTGCCGCTTGTCCTGTTTCTGCCACTACCTCTGACGATGGACTCCTGTACGAGTCTTAAAGCTCAGGATAATAAACGAAGTGTTCCGGTGCTCGACTCTTCTTCTTCAAATATGCTGATTGTCTTCTGAGGACGTCTCCGTAAAAACCGATTTAAAAAACTGAGACAGTACTCGCACTTTCTGTGGCCCTTCAACTAATAAGTTTCCGAGGCTATCCTTTAGACACGCAATTTCGTCCCAATGTTTCCTCCTACTGCGGATGTACCCGTAAAACTTCTTGGGACATGTAATGGATTCTGCTATCAGTCGACGCTCGAAAGAACTTCTAGCAACCCGTATTTCTTTGCGGCATTTATTGCGCTGATCCTTATATTCGGCGAGTGACCTTGGATCTCGAAGTTGCAAATACTTTTTCCAGAGTCTCTGTTTCTTCTTCATGGTCTTTTTTGTCGTCGGATTGACCCACGGCGGTCGCATACATGGTCTTGTCATTTTTATTGGACAATGGGAATCAATTAGACGCTCTATAATCCCGCGAAAGTATTGTCAGAATTCTTCTGAATCTTCCATGTTGACTGACCAGAATTCCTTCAAAAGAGTTCGTCTCATTGCGTAAAAGTCACTCTTCCAAATATTTCTGCGCCTCTTGATTTTTGGTTGTTGGTTTGATAGGAGAGACCACACGCAGGTAAAAGCAATATGATCGTTCAAATCGAGTGGAGGTTGTGGATTCACTTCTCTTTTGACTCCTTCTTCTTTGTTGAATACGAGCTCTAAACCGGTAGTTCGTTGTCCTTCTATCAGTCTTGTTGCGAATTTTGTGTTGAACGAGGTATTTATTCAGGGAGAGTTGCAGTAGCTTGTGCTCGAATGACGTAGACGGGGGGTTTGTTAAGGGAATTACCCAGTCTATTCCTGGAGCGTTAAAGTCACCCAGAAGTAGTAAGTTCTCCTGCCTACATAACAACTCCAGTGCACCAAGTAATTCCAAGTCGGCGATTTCATCCGATCTGGGAGACCGATAGACAACGCAAAGTTTAAGTATCGGTAATTAATTGATATATAATTTGCATGAAATTATTTCAAAATTTCACGGTGCCACATCGGATATTTCTCGCTGACGGCACGGAATTTCAGTTGACACATAAATCGCCGTGCCTCCTCCTCTACGTTGAAGTCTGTCCCAACGAAACACTTGGTATCCTCCAATACTGACTTCGCTGCTACTTATTTCCTCAGTCAACCATGTCCTTGTTAGGACAATTATGTGAGGCTTCTGTGCAGAAACTAGTAATATGAGTTCATCTAGCGAGCTGAGGAGACTCTGACAGTTTGTGTAATAGATTTATAGACAGAAACCACTGGTGCTCACAGCCTCCAAAGTTGGCACCTTTGCATTGGCTAGGCTGTCAGAATGACGGCCTTCGGCCAGAGAAATGGCCTTTTGACCTGAATTATTTGTCCGTTGTTTATTCGTAGGTGCGTTTCACCGACGTCTCTCCGCTTCCCAGTTCCGTCATCAGCTCTCTCGTTTTAATTCGCTCTTTTGGCTCGTGATCCGGCTGAAAAAAACTCCGGGATGCTGACACCGCAGAGATGATTTTCTCTGTAACAGGAGCTTGCCTGTGCTTCAGTCTCCAACATGACTTTTAGGGGTCGAGGCCGGGAATTGGAACTGGGTGTTGACTGAGTCTTCCCTATTCGGAATGCTTTGAGAACATCAACTGACTTGCAATCTCTTAACAAAGCTTTCACATACACTTGAAGAAGGCCTAATTCATGCTTAACTCCGTCCCCTGAAATTTTTGCCGTTCATTCCGGTATGTCTTTTATTATTACGTTTTTCTTGCGACTGAGTCTGGCGCCCGTTGTTGACGCAAATCTTTTGACTGACTCGGCGTTGTTAGGGGCGCTCACCGATCGTTCATACGGAACTCACTCGTTCCGTTGTGCCTTATGGACTCTCTCTCGAGCCCAACCAGCAGCCGCACAGCGGCGCATGATATATAGGCAGAATCTTTGTCGGTAATACTATTCTGACTCGGCTTTCTTTACCAGTTTACTCGCTTCGCTGTCTCCAGGTGAACTAGCTATTGGGTCGGCGAAACCTAGATCAGCGTATAATTTGTTCATCTTCGTGTCAATAACACTTCCTCCTGTGTTTTCGTATTGTTAGTCGAAAAACCTAACCTCATTTTCGTTCGAAGCCTCCGCTTGAATATTCTGGCTTGGTTTCGGCCCACAAGGCGTTCCGATATCTTTGTTGTTTAACATAACTGAGAGCCTCTGGCGGTCCTTCGCTGGCCTCCTGGCCGTCTTCCTCGGCTGATCTGCGTGTATGCAAGCGGCCTTCGTTCTTTTGGATCGGACAGAGGTACGTGTTGTTTACCTGGGATGTTTATTTGTCCTCTGAGTTCGTTTGGGGCTTGCCTTTTTCTCGACTAAGAGATTGGCACCCAAGTATGTCTAGTTCCTTGGACGAACCTTTTCCAGTTTCAGCGTCTGATGTGGCTAAAGAAGCCGTAGATGTATATGTTTTTCGTATTCTGGATTGCCGAATTCGTCAGCTTCTTCTTTTCACGTTAGTGTTGATTAAGATTCCTTAACTTCTCTACCTCCATTTTTAGAAATTTTAACTCCCACTTCATTTCCGAAAATTTATGAATGAGTCCGAAACATGCGGTACAGACTTCATCGTCATATGCGACATCGCCCTACGTCACTAGACTTTTTGTCCTTTTGACGGGCATTGGTCTGACCGCAGAACGTCCAACACTGCAGTCATTAATATCATGTTTAATACGTGATCTATCAATCGTTGGCGCGAGTCACTGGTCTAGTAGTAATGACGGTTTTCTGGTAGATCGACTGCCCGGGTTCGACTCCGGCCTGGGGCGGACAATTTACATCGTGTTTTGAGGGAATTTCTCCGAATAACATTACTAAGCAGAACAATTAATAAGAGGTCAAGTTACACTGCCATACGACGTCCGCCTAAAAAAACGTTAATCTATATCCTCTGAGTTATACGCCATTGCGCGGAGACTTGATTCAAACTTTCCGTATCGTGCGTGGATTGGACTGCGCCATCCGGTACGACGACTTTTTTCAACTCGCCACTACAACGAACCTATGGGGGCATTTCTTCAAACTACGTGTGCCCCAAGGTAGATTGAATCTGATAAAGTATTTTTTATTCAACCGTGTCGTGAAACCGTGAACTAACCTGCCCGATATGATTGTTACGCCTCAATCTGTGGAGACATTTAAATGTCCGCTTGACACATATATGCTGCAGCAGGGGTGTAGTGGTGTCAGTGGTGGGTTCACGTGGTGGTCGCTCACTTGCTTGCAGGTGATACTACGCCTAGCGTTCACTTGCTGGCACTCAACTCTCACCTGTGGCTCCACGCAGCTCGGCTCTGCTCCGTGGCTACACCCCAGCAACCGTCTCGACCGGCGGGCTAAACCAGGTGAGGGGGCCCTGTGCGTTGTGCCGTGTGCACAGGGTTTGCGGATTCCGCTGGATGGAAGGTCGGATGGAACCTTGCGTCGACAGCGTCGTGACGTGGTTCGTCTCTGCACGCCGCAGGACAGCCGGTAACGGGATGGATCTCCACATCGACATCGCCTTGACGTGCCCACCTACGCCATCGGAGACCGCGGCTTACGGCGAATCCGAGTCGCTCTCCACTACAACCCAAGGTCGTGGCCCCATAGTGGAGTTCGGCCGTGCCACAACGGCACATGGCAGCCCTATTCAAGGATGGCACTGCCAGCCCCCACGAGGGGAAGGGCCTAGAAAAGGTGGCCTAAACATTGCTGGTCACCACGCCGTCTTCAGGCTAGCCAGAGCCGCAGACGTCTAAACATGGTCGAAACAATCAAAATCGAAACAACAACAAGACTCGCTTACCTCCTTATCCTACCTCTTCTTTCTCTTCCTCTGCCTATTCTTCTGCCTACTCTTCTCCTTCGCCATCTTCTTCTCCACCTCCTTCCCGTCGCCCCACTCGTTGTCACCAGACTGGCAGGGTGAGTCCGCTCACTCTGGCAGCCTGGAATGTTCGTTCCCTTTTAGACAATCCGAGGAGCAACCGACCGGAACGAAGGACGGCGCTAGTGGCACGGGAACTGGCGCGCTACAAGGTGGACATCGCCGCACTCAGCGAGACCCGATTCTCCGAACAAGGCAAACTGGAGAAGGTGGATGCCGGCTACACCTTCTTCTGGAGCGGTCGACCCAGGGCAGAGCGACGGGACGCGGGTGTCGCCTTCGCCATCCGGAACGACATCGTGGGACGACAGCCCTGTTTGCCGCAGGGCATCAACGATCGCCTGATGAGCCTCCGCCTGCCTCTCTGAGGAGGCAAATTCGCCACCATCATCAGCGCCTACGCTCCGACGATGACCAACCCCGACGCCGTCAGAGACAAATTCTACGAGGACGTGCACGCCCTCTTGGCGACTGTGTCTAAGGCGGACAAGTTGATTGTCCTTGGTGACTTCAACGTCAAGAGGAGTGCTGGGTCCCACGGTCTCCGCGGCTCAAACGACAATGGTCTGCTGCTTCTCCGCACCTGCGCAGAACACCGCCTCATCCTGACGAACACCTTCTTCTGTCTGCCGGAGCGAGAGAAGGCCATCTGGAGGCATTCTCGGTCGCGTCAGTGGCACCTGCTGGACTATATCCTCGTCCGGAGGCGAGATCAGCGGGACGTGCTGGTGACAAAGGCGATCGCGGGCGCTGACGGGTGGACCGACCATCGCCTCGTCATCTCGAAGATGCGTATTCGCCTACGGCTTCGCAGGAGACCACAAGGTATGCGACCCCCAGGTAAGCTGAATGTTGCCTTCTTGTCTTTGCCCGCTCACCATCTTCATTTCAGCAATGAGCTAGCTCAAAGGCTAGACAACTTTCCTATCGCTGCCGCCGACGACGCCGCCGCTGCCGAGAACTCCTCCGTGGAGAACCGCTGGTGTCAACTGCGAGACACGGTCCAGTCGACGGCGCTCGCCGTCCTCGGTCGCGCTCCCCGCCAACACCAGGACTGGCTCGACGACAACGACGCCGCCATCAGAAATCTGCTTGCTGAGAAGAACCGCCTACACAAAGCCTACGTATATCACCCCACTGATGCCACTAAAGCTGCCTTCTACCGCAGTCGCCGCCAACTTCAGCAACGACTGCGCGAGATGCAGGACGCCTGGACTGCTCGCAAAGCTGAGGAGATCCAAGGATACGCGGACCACAACGAATGGAAGAACTTCTTCTCTGCGATCAAAGCTGTCTACGGTCCGCCGACGAAGGGCACTGCTCCTCTCCTCAGCGCCCACGGTAGCACTCTCCTGACTGAGAAGACGCAAATCCTACAGCGATGGGCCGAGCATTTCCGAGGCGTCCTCAACCGCCCCTCCGTCATCTCCGACGCCGCCATCGAGCGTTTGCCGCAAGTGGAGACCAACGTGGACCTCGACCTCCCACCATCTCTCCAGGAAACGATCAGAGCCGTGCAACAGCTCTCCAGCGGGAAAGCACCCGGATCGGACGCAATCCCTGCTGAGGTCTACAAGCACGGAGGTCCCCAACTGATGGATCACCTGACTGCGCTCTTCCAAGAGATGTGGCGTCAAGGTGAAGTCCCGCAAGATTTTAAAGTCGCAACCATCGTGCATCTCTACAAGCGCAAAGGGAATCGCCAAGTCTGCGACAATCACCGCGGCATCTTCCTGCTGAACATCGCCGGGAAGATCTTCGCCCACATCCTTCTCAACCACCTCAATAACCATCTGGAACAGGGCCTTCTGCCGGAAAGCCAATGCGGCTTCCGTCGTCATCGTGGGACCACGGATAGGATCTTCACCGTCCGTCAACTTCAGGAGAATTGTCAGGAGATGCGGACCCACCTGTACTCTACCTTCGTGGATCTGACGAAAGCCTTCGACACGATGAATTTCCAACCCGACTTGATAGCTTTAACAGAAACATGGTTAAAGGCGCAGATAGAAGATGCGGAAGTTATGCTAGATGGTTTCCAGATTCTCCGAATGGTCAGAAACGAACGTAGGGGTGGGGGGTTGCGATATTTATACGAGATGGCATCGACTACGTCACGGTTGAGTCTTCCCCATTTCTGCACATTGATTGTGAAATACTCAGTTGTTACCTGAAGGTGCCAAACCATCCAAGCCTCCATATGGCCCTGGTTTACAGACCGCCAAGCCAGCGGACGGATGCGGACGATGCACTTATCACCGAGCTAAAAGAAATTTGTCGAAGCAAACACATAATGTTACTTGATGACTTCAACTGTCTAGACATAGAGTGGGATTTGATGTATTGCACGCGATCAGAAATCTCCTTCGAACATAAATTTATGCAACTGATCAGAACCGAGTTCCTTACCCAACATGGTAAAGTGAACACTCGATTCATGGATGGACAGCAGTCCAGTTGTTTGGACCTCATCATCACCAGGGATGATAGTTGCATTCTCGGATTGGAATCGCAAATTGAAAATTGAAAAGGAGACTTTGGAAAAAGTACGCCAGTTACAACAACCAGAGCATTTCGCTGACTTCAAAAAACCGAGGATTGTATGTCGGAATCTGTTGAGGAGGCAACGGGCTCAATTTGAATCAAAACTACTAAAAAATATCCCGCAAAATTCAAAAAAATTCTTTGGATACTTGAATAAGGCAAAACGCCGGGGAAATACGTTGTCTGACAACTCACATAAGGCGAATATGTTATCCGACTTCTTCACGTCTGTGTATGATGAGGAGCCAGCTTTTGATGAAAGAGTTTACCCCACAATTGTCAAATCAAACAGTACAATTAACACTGTGGACTTCACAACAGACACTGTAACGAAAACTTTGAGGCAACTACAGCCCACTAAATCCCCTGGTCCGGACGGCGTGTTCGCAAAAGTTCTGAATGAACTCTCAGACCAACTGGCCTCTCCGTTATCCAAGATCTTCAAAACTTCGATGGAGACCGGCGCTTTGCCTACCGACTGGAAGAAAGCAAGTATAAGCCCCATTTATAAAGGTGGCGAGAGAACAGCCCCAAATAGTTTCAGACCAGTGAGTCTCACTAGCATCTGTTGCAAGTTGATGGAAAGAGTAATAAAAACGGAGCTGATGCGGCACCTCGAAGAAAACAACTTGCTTAGTCTACATCAGCATAGATTTCGAAGGAGTCGATCCTGTCTCACCAACCTCCTAGTATCCATGGAGAGCTGGACGAAATCAATTGACATCGACTTCAAAAAGGCTTTTGACAGTGTTCCACACAGACGGCTTATATGTAAACTACGTCAAGTGGGTGTGAATGGAAATCTTTTGAAATGGCTAGCCGATTTTCTTACGGGCAGATCTCAGCGTGTGTGCATCGGAAACGCTTAATCGGAATGGGCATCCGTGCACAGTGGCGTTCCGCAAGGAAGCGTTCTGGGTCCAATTCTGTTCCTTATGTATGTGAACGACTGCCTGGACTGTCTGAACTGCGAACGATGAATGTTTGCCGACGATCTTAAATTGTGGAAATCAATAGAGAAGCCGGAGGATTCTGTACAATTACAACACAATTTAAATCGCTTGCAAAAATGGTTTGATGAGTGGTGCCTTAGCCTCAATTGTAACAAATGCCAACTTATCCGATTACGTTCGAGCAACAGGAGGCCGTTGAGATTTGCATCTCAGTACTTTATAGGAGGTCACCAACTCGAATCAGTCAACGAGTTAAGAGACCTCGGTGTGTGAATGACGTCAACTCTCAAACCATCGTCTCACTGCGCCAAGGTATCAAAGAAAGCTATGGGTGTTTTAGGCGCGATTAGAAGATCCTTCGTAAATTTTGATGAAGAACTCTTCGACCGAGTATTTGGCGCATACGTTAGACCAATGTTAGAATATTGTGTCCAGGCATGGTGTCCCTGGACGAAAAATGATTACATCCTACTGGAGAGCGTACAACGTAGAGCGACCAGGCTAGTCGGCGGACTATGTGGCTTACCTTATGAGAGACGGCTGGAGAAGCTAAAAATATTTCCTCTCTCTTACAGACACTACAGAGGGGACATGATCATGGCCTTCAGGATCGTCCGAGGGCTAGACTGTGCTCTGCAGTTTGACGACTTCTTCGAACTGGCGCGAACAACAACATGCCAGACTCGATGTGCTGGCCAAATTCTTCTCTCACCGGCTGGTTGAGGGATGGAACAAATTGCCGAACTCCGTTGTCTTAGCGGAAAACGTCGAGACTTTCAAAAGAAGGCTAGATAAACTTATGCTTGATGGTCAAACATTTACATGATATCAATGACTGGCATAACTGCTATGTAAATATCTGCATGTTTTTTCATACGTCTATCTGTCAATAGGGTTTTCCAAGGCTCTGCCTCTATCCCTCATATATACTGAATTATACTGAATCGTGAAGGACTGTGGAAGATCATGCAGAAATTCGGCTGTCCGGAGCGATTCACTCAGATGGTGCGTCAGCTGCACGACGGTATGATGGCGCGAATCACAGACAACGGAGCTGTCTCAGAGGCATTCGCAGTGACCAATGGAGTGAAGCAGGGCTGCGTACTGGCAACTACCCTCTTCAGTCTTATGTTCTCTGCCATGCTGATGGACGCCTACCGCGACGAACGCCCCGGGATCCGCATCGCCTACAGGACGGACGGTTACCTCCTGAATCAACGGCGGATGCGCTTCCCAACGCGCGTATCCACAATCACTGTTCACGAACCCCTCTTCGCCGACGACTGCGCCCTGAACACCACCTCGGAAGAGGAGATGCAACGGAGCATGGACCTGTTCTCCGCCGCCTGCGAGAACTTCGGTCTGGTCATTAACACGCAGAATACGGTGGTGATGCACCAACCGCCACCCCACTCAGTCACAGCCCCCAACGCGCCGCCGCAAATCAGCGTGAACGGAACTTAACTGCAAGTGGTGGAGAACTTCCCGTACCTGGGCAGTACTCTCTCCCGCAACACCAAGATCGACGACGAAGTCGCCAACAGGATCTCGAAAGCCAGTCAAGCCTTCGGTCGCCTCCAAAGCACAGTTTGGAATCGCCACGGTCTTCAGCTGAGCACGAAGCTGAAGATGTACAAGGCCGTCATCCTGCCGACAATACTGTATGGAGCGGAGACTTGGACGGTGTACGCAAAGCAGGCACGCCGTCTGAACCATTTCCACCTCAGTTGTCTTCGTCGCATTCTGTGGCTGAACTGGCAGGATCGAATCCCCGACACTGATGTGCTGGAACGGACGGAAATCCTCAGCATCTACGCAATAATGAGGCAAATTCAGCTGTGCTGGAGCGGCCACCCGGTGAGCATGGACGACGAGCGACTACCCAAAGGGCTCTTCTACGGAGACGTCGCGACGGGTTCTCGCTGTCAAGGAGGCCAGATTCGCCGTTACAAGGATACCCTGAAGTCCTCCCTGAAACGCCTGCAAATCAACCCCACCAACTGGGAGGAGCTCGCACTCGATCGACCGACCTGGAGGAGGACAGCGAAGACAGGCGCTGTGATCTACGAAGCCAACCGCATCGCTGCCGCCGAAGCAAAACGCGAAGCCCGCAAATCATAAATTCGCTCAGTACGCAACGCCGCCGCACAACCGCTTCCAACGTGTCCTCGATGTCAACGGACATTCCGGGCTCGAATCGGACTTGTTGGACATCTTCGGATTAACTGCGCCTCTCAAACGGCACCAACCATCGTCCCCCGCCCGCCTATTCCTCCTCCTCTCCGCCGCCAAATAACCCTGACAATTCTTCTGACCCACCACTTCCATCCTCCTCCTCCTCGCTCACTGCTCCAACGACGGCCGCTCAGGCGACTGCCCCGCGCGCAACAACCGACACTACCACCACCTCCCTCGACTCCAGCGATGAGGATCAGGACTACACCTGCCCTTACTGCGACCGCACCTTCACCTCACACATCGGCCTGGTCGGTCACTTGCGAATCCATCGCACAGAGACTGGCGAACCAATGCCTGGAGCACCCACCTATACCCACCAAGCTCGTCTCAACTGCCCACACTGCCCTCGCACTTTTAGGCATCGCGTGGGCCTATTCGGCCACATGCGCATCCACGACGACCTGCGGTAGACGACCGCCGGTCACACCACACATTCACTCACTCCCTACCTCCTCCACCACCACCATCACCCCACCAGAAATCAACACTCACACACCTCATGCACCCAACTGCCACCTCCCACGCAAGTGGGAAGTCCGCATCTCGACTCGGTCCCCATGCGGCCTCGACTGCACGGGTGACTTGAGTCCGAGACTATCCCGACACGTCAAGCGTCGTGGATAGGGAGGTTGCTGATTGACGCCCGCTCTCGGTTCACGCAGTTCTTTGCGTTGTGTGTGTTGTGTGGAGTTGAGTGGCGGACTGGTGGGCTGGGGATGGGCTGAAATAGCACCTTCCACGGCACTCCCACGCAAGTGAGAGACACGCCGTTCAACCCCCGTTGTGTGTAATCCTGGTGTTGTGTTTATGGGGGGCAGGTCGTGCCACGGCGCGCGCAGTCATGGTCAGTCGACCATTCCCGACTCCAGTCTGCTGGCCAGCTCGGACAGCGGCTGGGGTGTGGGAGTGTGAAGGGAGAGTGAGGTCGACGACTCAGCGCATTTTCCTCACTATAAACAATCTGACGCGCTTGAAGCTATCACGGTGCGCTAAAAGCCGTGGCTTGGAAGGTTGCCAACTGACGGGGTAACTTGGACCTCCTCCTTGACTGGAGGCGGTCTGAGAGTCAGGCTGCAATGGCTCCTTTTTAATGTGGCCTTTATGGCACTCCCATCACAGTGTGGGATCCGAGCCAGGCGTTGGCGGCACGCCCAGTTGCGGCTTCGGCCGTGCCAGCCTCCAAATCTATGTTGTGTTGGTTCAAATCCTGGTTATTGTTGTGTGGACCAGGGGGTGTGGTGGAACGCCAAGGTGAGGATCCGTCCGAGCCATCCACCTGCGGCCTCCCTCGTCTCCGGTCTTCTTGACTCTGTCTTGCCACCGGGCTCGGGAGGAGGAGAGAGTGTAGGTAGATGCTACGCAAGTCTACCCGCACTATAAACCCCTTCGTAAGTCACCGTCCCTGCTCCCATTCCTGCTGCAACAGTGGGGCACACGGTGGACATCATCGAAACCGATGGTCGAACTGTCATGCTGCAGCAACAAGCGGACTTTGTGACTTTGTAACCATAAAACCTGTGACCTATGTGAATCGATGTCTGCATTCACTAAATGCTGTAATTTCTTCCCATTATTGTTTATTTTCTCGACTATTTATACACAAATAGGGAGTTCAAATGCGTACACCTATTTCTCTCAAATACACTGACCGACTTACTGATCTGGTAGAGTGTCACTTAATGCCTTCTGGTTTCTTTCGGTCATCTGAGTACACTTTGTCAGAGAAAAGTGAGAGTAATCTAGGAGAAGCCAGACGTAGATTTTGTAAATTTGCGTCTAAGGCAAATTTTTGTCATATGAATCCGCATATTCCAATGGCTTTCGGCGATATTTGTTTATCCTGTTGGGATAAGTAGATAATACTTGTAAAGTTCAGACCTAGGTGTTTTTTGATGATGGCTTCATGAGTTCGTGATCGCTGAAAGTTACAGAAGGAAGTTTTTGAGGACCGACAATTAAGAGATGGCATTTTGTTGGCAAGGATGGCATCTGCCATTGACTACTCCATTCGATTGTTCCGTGTACACTGGATCCTGTATGCCCGTTATATGTATTGCGGATTTTAGGTCTTCTGCATACGAAAACGTTTTTCTGAGATTGATATGGGCGATAAGTCGTAAATATATATGTGAAAAGAAGGGGACCTAGGATAGTTGCCCTGAAGCCTTCTGTTGGTGATGTATGGTGGCTCTGCGACTATTTTTCGAATCTGTATTACTTGCTGTCGGTTTTGAAGGTAGGACTGGAGTATGTTGGGAAGAGACAGCATAATTACTTAACTTACTGTCTTTATTATTAATCTTCTATAGGGCACTTTGGCGACGGTAATTTTAAGATTGGGGTATATTGTAGCTACCGTGTTTCCATGATCTCTGTTCTTTAAAGCGAATCCCAAGCAAGTGAGAATGCAAGACTGAAGTGATCTTTTAGACAAAAAGACATGTTAAATGGGAGCTATGAAGCTGGCATTTTTCAGATGGTTCAGCATTTGTTTGTAAGCTTCTTTCGGGATTTTCGCAATTATCATTTTCCGATGAACACCACGATATCTGTGGTTATCAGATCGGTTATCGTTTCGAGAGATTAGTGGAATTTTCAGGCATTTTCAAATGCCTGGAGAAAATGTATTTGGCTGGTGCAAAGCGATTAGCCCATAGATGAGTATCGGAGCATATGTAATATGCTTCAGTATGCAGGGTGGGATTGTATCCGCTCCACTAATGGCACATACTACCATCTCGGGTGATTGAGGAACCCGTTATTTTTCGGTCGTTTAGTAGGTTGAAAAACATCTGTTGAATACATTTGTTGGTGGTTTTGTTTGTCCTTACTTGTTTTGGGTCAGCAATCATAGTTTTGGGTTCTGGTCAGCAGTTATTATTTATCTGAATTCGAAAGATTTGGATTGTTTGTTCCGGGGACACCGGTCCCCGGAGTTTTGCTGCTTTTGCCTTTTTATTTCCACTTTAGGCTTCAAAAGCGAAAATCATTTCACATTATTGTTTTAAAATGGCAAAAACCTTAATGCCACTAAGCAAGTGTTTACGATTTTTCTACTCATCATAATTTAGTATCTACGAAGGGGACAGACAAAGCCATACAGACATACGCTGAAAAATGTACTACCATTTACATTGCTATATGGGCACACTATATCAGTCCTTACCAATTAACCAGGCCGCCATCAAGTAAAATGCTTTGTACACTTCTTTTAAATGTCCGAATGCTTTCCGCCGAGACAACTGAACCGCGTAGTTTTTCATTCTTCAATCATCTGATGAGAGATGAAGATAGCCCGTAAATCAATTTTGACTTACTTTGTCTTCAGTTTGCACTAACGACCTCGGTTATTTGTTGTTTCCTCCAGTTCAAGACAATTGGCCACTCGAACAACTCCTCTGACGAGCTTAAAGACCATTATCATTTCCTCTATGCATTATCTGTAAGACAGCGCGAGCATTGTAAGCCTTTCTATTCGTCCATCATATGGTAGGCGCTTCAGTCCACCAACCTTTTTGGCCACTCTTCGTGCAGCATTTTCAAAAGAAGTGTAGTCTTACCCTATCCAGAGGCGCCACTCCTGAGCACAACATTCTAACATCGACGGGATAAATGTTCAAAACACTCGACTAAAAAGATCTTTGTCAAAGTTAAGGAAGGATTTCCTGATCTCTCTCAGGATGCCCATAGCCTTCTTTGCCATCTTGACGCAATAAGACGAAGGTTTGAGGGTACACATTTTCCACACATCCAGGTCCCTTGACTCGTTTGCTACCTGAAGTTGATGACCTCCCAAGAAACACTGGCATTTAAAACTCATCATCATTTTGTAACTAAGCCGTGGTAGAATGACTTGGCATTCGCTGAAATTAGGGCTCAGGAGCCACTCCTCACACCACTCTTGCAATCGGTTCAAGTTACTTTGTAAGCTCAGCACATCCTCTGGCTTTTCTACTGAATCCATACCTTCAGGTCATTGCCAAACATAACCCTCTCGCAAGTCAGGCAATCAATGCAGTAGTTCACATTTAGCAAATGCAGAATGAGATCCACAAAATTCACCTGTGGGACCCCACTGTGAACGGTTCCTCACTTCGATTTGGGGTCCCCATTACAAACGCGCTGGCGCATGCCTGTTAGAAAGTCAGATAATCATCTGAGACCTTTTCTCCAAGATCTTTTCAGAATTCGCGATGCCAAATTTTGAGTAAGCCATGCGAGCCTGGAGACTTTGCGCACTGCAAGGTGATAATTTTCCCACAAGAGCTCAATAGAAAGACCACTGAAATGGTAAGACGTTTCATTACGCAAGTCGTCTAGTAGGCCTAAATCTTCCTCTTTGAACAAAGGTTAATTTCACGTCGTCAACTGATTGGATAATGTCTTGGCTTTCGCGTTTGTAAAACAGCCGACATCTGAGACCAACGATTAAAACTTTGCATTTAATAAGCTCGCCGGAATGCGTGGAGCTCTCCCGTATGACGTTGATCGAACCATAGAAAGATAACTCGGCGCCACCTTCGGGAAGCACTTCAAAAGGAGACTTGAGGGGTTCGTGTTCAAAAACTATTGAGAGATGTGAAAATAAGCTTGTCCGCTGAGACTCCTATTTAGATTTTCCCCGACTGTATATACTCTTTTCCCACGTACAGTGTTGTTCTCTACGTAATTCCAAGATTGGTATGTTGGGGATGGGAAAAAGAAAGACCCATACATGGTTTTCACCCAGTAAACGTGGCCAAACGGAATTAAAGAGGGCCTCGGAATTGGTTATTTAAAAAATCGTCCAAACCTACACGGGCGTCCTTAGCATATGTCGAGGTTTTTGGTGTCAGTTTCAATTTTAAAAAGATTGATTGGGAGTTGGAACATTTCGGCGTTTG